TATGTATATATATATATATTACATACATATATATATATATATGTAGATGTATATATATATATATATGACCTGCTTCGAAATTGCGTTGTATGCATGTAGACGATGGCAGTAGATGCGGAACGGGTGTTTTTGGTTTTGCTGTTGCTGCCTTTTTGTTGTTGTGCAAGCCCCGGCNNAAAAAAGCAGCAACAGCAAAAACAAACACCCCCCCTCCGCAGCAACGACAAAAAAGACACCCCCCCGCAACAGCAAAAAAGCACTACAGCAAAAACAAACACCACCCCGCCAGCAACAGCAACAAAAAACAAAAACAGCAGCAACAGCAAAACAAAAACACCCCCCCGCACAGCAACAGCAAAGAAAAACACCCCCCCGCAGCAACAGCAAAAAAACAAACACCCCCACGCAGCAACAGAAAAAAAAAGACAGCAGCAACAGCAAAAAAACACACACACCCCGTAGCAACAGCAAAAAAATCAGCAACAGCAAAAACAAACACTCCTACCCAGTAGATGCCTGCAATATCCTGACCTACGTATCGTGTGAAAACAGAAAGCTTCAACACTCGGACCTGCAGTGCGACGCTTTCTGTATATATAGATATATACATATACATATATTCTATACATCTACAACCGAATATATATATATTTATATATATGAGATAACTGCTCGAAAGCCGCGGCAACCAAGCCAGCCCGCCTTGCCCTTGTGTTGCCAGGCATCGCCAACATCGACGAGGAGCCGACGCTGTGTGCTGCGCGCGGGCCGCAGCTCTTCGACCCCTGGGCGCTGGTGGATCCAAAGGACTTCCTGGATGACTTTTGGTGTCTGGGTTTTGTTTGGACGTCGATGTTGCCGGGGAGGGCATGACTTAGTGACTTGTTGCAGCCGATGTTGCTGTGGCGGAAGCTTGTATCGTTGATGCTTGCAATGTTCTGAGTTTGGAGTTGTAGGGCTTACGAGTTAGAGCTTTCGCTGGAATTCAGCAGTTGAACAACATATGCGGACTGACAATCTGGTCTTCACTCAAACTACACTGGTGGTGAACCTGGTTTGCTGTTCTCCCGGCTACCCTGGGCATGCCAGAAGAACAGCAATGGCAACGGGTTCATCTCGAAAGTGATGCCCTTAGCTGTCCATAAGATCCATTTTGAGGACCTCGGAAATGCAAAGTCGAAGCGGCGGCGCTTGTTCCGGTGATCTTCGCCCTGATGCTGCCTCTACATGGTAATGTCTTAAAGATACAGGCGCATAAATACCTGACCGAAATCTTGAAATCTTCGTTCTTTCTCAAGCACTGGAGCTCGCAACAGATATCCCCTCGTTCCTTTATGGGTTTCTCGATCCGGGGCATGTTATGCCTGACCCGACCCTGAAGCCCTGCAGAAGTCACGCACAGTGGCAGTCTGCAACTAAGCAGGTGTTTTCAATCCATACATACGGTTACGAAGTTTAGGGTTTGGGGGTTTAGGGTTTAGGGTTTGGGGTTGTAGTTGAGTTCACCGTGGCAGCTTCAGGTGGAGGGTTGCTCCTGTGGAGAATGCTTGTCAGGAGATGCACGACTCCCACCAACACGAGGGTAGTTCTCTAAATTAGGGTCCCTTTTCGGGTCCCCAATATAGTACGGCACCCTTATAAAAAGTACCCTAAAAGGGGCCCTCGTTTGAGCTGCCCACGAGATCAAGAGTAGCTAGTTCGTTCCGGAAGACCGAAAAGACACGCACCAGCACAAAGTGCATAGGTAAGCAGAGGGGCCTAAATAATTACTTTTATTATTTAGGGCTCCTTATTTACGATTATACTATAAACAGGAGTCCAAACCCCTATTCTAGTTGTTAAGGCTCCTACATTAAGCAGAGGGGTGCAAGTTGTAAAGTAGGGGCCTAAATAATTAGCAGTACTATTTTGGGGGCTCCTTATCATAACTGTAGTGCAATGAACGGCCCCAAAACCCTATTCTGATTATTAAGGCCCCTACATGAAGTTGTATGGCCCAAGGCTCGAGCCTTTCAGGACGATAGTGCGAAGCCGCGGGCGGAAAAGTCCGGTCGTCCGCTGTTGTTCTGAGACTATGCGTGGGTCCCGCATAAAGTACCCCAAAGGATCCAAAGTACCTAATTAAAAAAAAGTAGAATGTATAGGGTTTCTACATCAGAAATCCTTTGGGAATCTATTCCCCCATGCCGGTACCTTGGACCCTTTGGCTTGTGTTTCGCCAGCTCTCCACCCGCAAACCTTACAGCTTGATGCGCTCAATCCTCAAACCTAGCAGCCCCAAAATCAGCCTTTAAGAGGGAAGGGAAGGGTTTAGGGTTTAGGGTTTAGGGAGTCCCCCAAAGCAACTCTGATGCGGTGATGCCTTTGCACACCCGAATCTCCCAACACAGGGTCTTTAGTGCCCGGGGTGGCGTCGGCGGCGTAGGGCTTCAGGGTTCAGCATCAGAAGGAATTAGCATCGCAAGTCTCATTCCTTCGCTCGGCTAGTCTTCAAGCTCGTGCAGTACTCCAGCTCTTTTGTTGAGGGGCTGAATTTCTCGAACATCTCGTTGTTCGCAAGCTGTGCGACGAAAACTTGTTGTTGTGACTCAACACGGCATTCATGCTAACATGTTGTTCAGAAGTTGATATTACTTTTGTTTCCCGCGGGTCTGTCGGAAGAGCAACCGCCGATTTGATTTCAGAACAATCGCAAGAACAGCGTTCATATATTCAGATTCAAACCTCTCTTTTGGAAATGGCCTTCCCGTACCCCCCCCTCCACCCTTATTTTAGATAAGTCCTATACGTCCTAGCGAGCCCGAAACCGCCGCCCCCCCTCCCCTCCCCTCACCGCCGCCCCTAAGCCCTAAGCTAAGCGTCGGCTAACAAAACGAGCCTGAGACTGCAACCAATGCGGGCTTCGCTTTGGCCACCCGCGGTGAACGGGGTGCTCTGCTTCTCGCAAGGCGCAGAAGTATGAGTCGCCTGTTGCTGGGTCTAAGGTTTCGCTGATCGTAGATCTGATGTGGGGGCCTGACAAGTGTTTATGTCGGACTCTTTGCCAGATGGTTCAGATGAGCCTGGCATAGAAAAAATAACTAAGAGCTTTCAGGCAAAGGGTTCTACGCCTCGTGTGTGAATGCCCGTAAGCACACAGAACAAATAAAGGCACGCAGAGTTCAGAGCTCTTCAGGTCAAGGGGCCCAAAGAGCATGGACCGAAAGAGATCTCGCAGAGAAGGGTTTCTCTTTATACTTTATAACGACGCTGGACCTCGAAGGTAGCATCCGTAGGTGTTTGTTAGGCCCTTGAGCGTGGGAAGGCCAGGCGCTTTCAAGAGCTCTGGCAACGAGGACCGGTGCCGTGGGCTTCCGGTATCCGATTCCGTGCCCGCGTGTCGTATGTGGGGCTTGTGAATCCGTGTATCTGGCTTCTTGTATCACGGGTTTGGAACTATCTAGTCAAAACAGTTTCATGGATGAGTTGCATGGGTCTCAAAGCTTTTTTGTTGGTTGGTACCCGTGCGGAGGACAGGGTGCTCTTTTGAGAAGTATTGTGCATGTACATATACTTCAGTATGTGTCTATATATATATATATATATAACATGTATGTGTGATTATGATGTATGTATGTATGTATTTATGTATGTATGTATGTATGTATGTATGTATGTATGTATGTATGTATGTATGTGTATATATATATATATGTATGTGTTTGTGAATGTGTTTATGTATGTACGCATGTACACTTGCATGCATGCAAGTAAGGCAGTAAGTATGAACGTATATGTGTATGTATGTAAGTAAGTAAGTAAGTATGTATGTATGTATGTATGTATGTATGTGCCTGCTCAATGGTAACTGTGTTACAAAGTACACCTACTCTAAACCCGGAACACTCACCTCCCACACCAGTAGCCTTCGATGTTAAACCCTCAGTCAAAGGCTAAACCCCGACAGAGTCAACTTGCAAACCGAATCTGCTGGCACACTCGGATATGTTTCTGTTCTGCCTGCCCTGCACGCTTGGTCCACTGCTCTTCCCGGAAGAACTAGGTCTTACGGTACAGGGGCTTAGAGTTTCGGGTTTCGTGCTTCAGGTTTAGGGTTCAATTATATGGTCGTGTGCTTGTGTAGGTTGGCCTGAGTACTCTCGATGGGCTCTAGTCGTTGAAACTCCACAGTCCAGAGTGAGAATTGGGGGCGGGCCATGGGGTGTGCTATATCTAGGTTCTTTTAAAAGTCCGGCTTTTGGGATCCCCCCCAACCTGGGACAGTGGATCTGGTGTTGACAGTGTCCTGGTTCAGAGTCAAACTCTTACGTCCAAGAACCGCAAACTCCCCCCCTAAGCCCACATCTGCATGGATTGCTTCGACACCGCAGCTTTGGCTCAATTCACAAAAGGCCAGTTTGGTGAATCTGTTGCTGGCCCCGCGCCCGAGCGCAAGGGAAGCATGGTGTCTGAGAGTACCAGCGGCCTGGTTCTGATTCATTTAAGGATGTGAGGCAGGATCTGAGTCTATATATATATATATATTGGGGTTTTCGTGTTGTATTAAGGGCCCCACCAGGATTTTGTGTGTATGTTTTGGTTTGCATTCGACTCTCGACACCCCCCCCCACCTCCCGTTGTTTGCCATCCTTGCCTCGTGAACTGGAGATGTAGTTCGCAACGATTTATTACTCGGGCACCCAGGTGAACTTGCGGCTGATATAGCGGAGTTGAAGGACATGCTTCAGCGGGCGCAAAGGTGGGATAGCACAGCCTGCTGCGGGCATTCACAACCGCAACTTGTTCACAACCCAATTCTATCAATAAGTTTGAAGGAAGCGGCCGCTTCAGCAAATCCAGAGGGCTCTGGAGGCAACATAACAAAAATACCCAAACTTAAACTGTATCAACATATCCGAATTAGGAATGTAAACATCACAAAACCATAAACCTATAAGCTCTATACTTTATATTGGATGCTGGGCCTCCCACCCTTGAGCAGTCCTTGCAGCTGGCAGGTGCTGAATCCTTGAGCCGTTGCATAAGCTGACATGCCCAGCACCCGCTAAGACTCTCAGCAGCCGTGGCATCCTCTACATAACGCCGTTATTCAACCCACAACACCATCCCACCCGCAAGAGTCCGAAACCCCCTGCAGACCTTGCCTTCACCCGTTGCAAACCGTATGGATCCACCAAATGCACAAGCCCTATAAGTGCCTCGTGGGCGCCCTTCCTAACCTATTGCAAGCCTTGCGTGCAATCCCGAGTTTGCAAACAACCGGAGAAAGGCAAACTTGCAACCTTCTGCTGAGTGCAGGCCGGCTGTTCGCGAAGAGCTGCAGCGGGTGCTGACGAAGCTCGAGGCTTTGTATCTGTGGCTTGAGGATTTCAGGGTTTAGGGTCTTGAAAATTGGGGTTTGCGTGGTTCAGCCTGAGCTCGCTCGGATACGAAATATTGTTCGTGATATTGCTTGCTCGGTTTCCTAGTCGCAGCAAAGCCACTGTTCCTGTTATTCTCGTTTGCCTGCTTGGAACTTGGAAGTATACAATTGGCTAATTAGTGTGTTGCTCTTGCTCTGGATCAGGCACTCCATGCTTGTCACACTGTTTACCACGCGCTTTCCCTACACCCCGAAACCCTAAACCCTAGGGGCCTTGCCTGCCTTATGCGAGAGCTGCGAGAGTGAGAGTCGAAAACCTTAAACCCTAAACCCCAAACCCTTAAAGTTCTTAAAGCCCGAAGCCTTAAGTTGCAGACTAGTTGTGGTTGCAGAAACCCCAGCCAGAAAAAGACCCTTACATAGTCATACGCTACTTGTACCCTCCTAACCCTAAAACCCCGTGGCCACGTTATTGATGCTCTTGGAGCGGACGGAAAGGGGCCGCNNCCCCCCCCCCCCCCCCCACCTCCCCAAAAAAGAGGGTATAATGTATCCCAAAAACCTTATTCCGATGCTTAGTGCCCCTATATCAAACAGGCTGAGCAGCTCAAGGCAAAGAGCTCGGAGGCGGCTCCAGCGGCGACAAGCGACAAGGCAGGGCTTGACGGCCTCCACTCGGGGCCTGAAGAATGTAGTTAGATTGCGAACAAGAGCAATAATTAACATGTAAGTCTTATCAAACCAAATAAGCTTAGAACCAGGGCATATACATGTGTGTATGTATATATA